AGAGAGAGAGAGCACGAGTGAATTTACATGAAAAATAAAAAACTTCCATAAAGAAAAATAATTTCCTTATTTTTAAGGAAAATATAGTCACATGATTAAAAGTTAGAAAATATTTTCCATGAAAAAATTTGTCAATCAAACATCCTAAAAGTAGAAATTTGAGTAGAAAAATAACATTTTTCACATAAAATAAAATCAATCAAACAAAGTCTTAATGTAAAGTACGGTGGCCATGGGCGAAATCAACCCTAAAAGTAGTACTTTCAAATTTATGTTGCTTCATTTCTAGCAAAAACATGTTCAGAAAATAAAGTTACTCAGGACCGTTTTAAGCTTATAGACATGTTTGCTGTTACTGAGCCCGAGCCGAGCCGCAGGTGAGCTCGACGAGCGGCTCGTGGGCTCATGAAAAATTAAAGAAAAATAAAAATAAAAATTCAAAAGGCTCGTGGGCCGAGCCGAGCAAACGAGCCTGCTCGGCCTGACCCGGTCCATTGCCATGACTGCGACATTAGTTAAAAGTTCATATTCATGGATAAGCAGTGATTCTTGAGAACTCTCAATAGTTCGATATTCTCACTTACACATAATTATAGATGGTTACCTAGTTGGGTTCCCTCACTTTGACATTAATGTCAAGGTTAATTTTCCCATGGATATAAATTGACTCTTAACTCTCTGAGACTACATATCTACTCATGGGAGAAATAAAGCTGTCGTCTGGTATCAGGGATGGGTTCATGTCCACAAAGCCATAGCCAATCCCCACATCCACAGTGGTCCAACAGTTGGATCCATAGGCTAAGTCGTACACGAACGGTGACAATTTCAGTGGATGAATGCAGCCTCAACCAAAAGCGGTATGATTAAACAAAAAACCTTGCACTTTCCAAAAATATTTATTTCTCAACTCAAACAGTTCATAAGAAAACAATAATGCAGCTCATCGAGGTTCTGTTTTTTCCACTTCTTTTTTGATTTTCTATACTATGGAATATAGAAAAACAATACTGAAATAATAAACACGTCTTGATTCTGTCTCATATTTACAAAATGCATAGAGCAATGAGTGTTTTTAATTAAGAGACCACTCAACACTAACTCTTACTGAAAGTAAAGCCGGAAGAACAGGAATTCTCTTCAACTTCAACCCACAAAGCCCATCTCCCAACATGACTGATGTCCTGATGTCTCTGACCAACCAAAATAGCCAATTCTGTCCTGATAAAGTTGATCATAGGATTTGAACCCTCTAATGAAATTCAAAATTTCCCTCATTTCTGGGGACTCCATGCCAAAATATTGTTTGCCAAACTAAGCAACGCTAGAACCTCCATTTGTTTTAGGATCAGTTCGAACATACGTTAGGCTTCGAGTAGTGGGTGATGAAACAACACTATTTCCATTTTTACCCAACATCTCAGTTGCAGTGGACTGAGCATCTCGCTTCCACTGAAAACTCCTTGCACCTGGCTTGATTGGCACACGAGCCCTGTATACGTTGGGAATGCCTCTTGCAAAAGGAACTCTGCTAAATCTAGGAATTGGAAACGGGGATGCTCTACTAATACGAGGCCAAGTCATGACTGATGCATTTTCAGGTTGAACAGAGCTTTTCCTTGCTATCTGCAATGATACCAGAGGATGGTCAAGTTCACATAAAACTACATGCAACTAATATAGAAAAGCTATGCATTAAGACTGATAAATTGCCGAAATCACTTTAAAAGGGTTTTATAATATGTGAATCTTTCACACGAAAAATCCAACCACCAATTTACTAAATTAAGCCAAACAAGTACGAATTTAGTTGTTGCCTAGTTTCACTTTCATGGAACGTTTCATTACAAGGAATGATGGTTTAATTGATAAACTGCTTATTAGGAAAAGAAAAAATATAAACTGCAACCCTATTGCTGCAGTCGACTAGGTAAATATCAAATAAGCAAAAAAACATAAACTGCATCTCTACTGCATGTGCAGTCTACATAAAGTAGTCCTACTACAGTGGCCATAATATTCTTCAACAACTTACCTTGAGAATGCGTGACATAAATGAGGTGCCATCCAAAGATAGAGCAAGCTCAGCTGATTCTTTCTTCATGAACTCTATATAAGCTGACCTGCATAAGAAAAATATTGCAGGATGAGCTTTCAAGCAGAGACATTAGATCGGGAAAATGACTATTTCAAAAAAATCTCACCCTTTTGGCTGCCCTGAAGCTGGATCGTTCAAAATTATCACTTTTAGGACTTCTCCGAACTTATTAAAGTGCCGTGAAAGGCTGTCCTTAGTGGCAGCAAAATGAACCTAATACAGGAAACCGTGTCAGTACTGAAAAAATACAGAATTTCTAATCCATAAGGCTCAAGCTTTAAAATTGGGATATGAGAAAGTACATTGCTAACAAAGATAGTTCGAGAATCAGCATCTTCCCAGGGTGCACCAATAGAATTTAAACCTGCACAAAAGAAAGTGTCATAGAGAAGAATATTTCCAAGGAAAGTATGCATGCATTAAAACTACCAAGCACAAACTAAACACACATTGGTAAACCAACTTCATTGGAATATTAAAAAAAAAAATCAGAAAGCAATAACAAAAACAACAGCCAGCAATCAACCTCGTGATAGAATATTAGCATAAGATAGATATGCATTAAAAAAGAGAGAGAGAAAAGTGAAGGCAAAGGAATGAATGTGAAGCTTACCAGGTGTCAATGTCTGACTCTTAAGTGACTCCTTTTGCAGATCTGTATGGACTTTCACCTATACAAAAGAAACAGGTGAAAGAAAATGGTGAATACATTACTATTCTTTGTATGAACTGCAAAATATTCCGACAAACTGACAAAGAAGAAATACAGGAACATAAGAATGCATGACTCACACAGATATCTTACATTTCTTCCATTAACAGATACTGTCAGATTGTTGTTCTCCTTCATCAACTGCATCTGCACTCCAGAATTACCAGCCACTGTATTACTCTCTTTTATTAATTTCTGACTATCAACCTCTGAAACCTTCCTTACCTCCTGATAATTAGGAGGTTTCCAGAGATTCACTTTTACAGATGAACTAACAACTTTATGAGCTATATTGGGCATGGTTTCAGTCTGATCCTGATTTTTATGTGTTATACCCACTATTTCATCTGCATCATTAGAAGAACCATAGTGAACAACTAAAGAGTGATCACCCCTATTTCCACGAGAAGTGCCTGGCCGAGTTATATCCATTGTTTTACGGATATCATAACCTTCATCACTATATGCTGAATCAGAAGTGATAATTCTCTCACTTCGGAAAGATGACACATTTCCTTCATACCGTCTAGAAAAGTCATTTCTCTGAATGTAAGCAGAATGAATGTCCTCCATTACATCACTAAAAGCCCCACCTTCTCTATTTTCAGTAGTGCCTTCTCTATACTCTTCTACATGGTCAGAGGCATCCAAATCATCAGTAGAACGACCAAGCCTATCAAACACATTGCCCGAGGATCTAACTCTGCTTACATCTTTTGCAGCTTCTGCAACGGCTTTAATAGCAGTGGACATGGCAGTACGCACGCCTGCTACAGATCGAATTCTCTGATAGCCTGCTTCAAGGGATGAGTCCCCTGTCGATGTAGAAATTACTGATCGGAGGCGTTTAAGAGAAGGCTCAGCAGTTGAATTGGATGGCCTAGAAGTAGCAACAGCATCTCTTACTGCAAATTGCAGTAGCCTCCGTGGCGCATCACTGGATGCCTGAGAAACTTCTTCCTATCGAATTAAATTGAACAGGACAGGGTAAACAATCAATGGACTAACAATTCTTGAAAAGAAATCAAGAACAGGAAAATTAAAGATACAGCTAAAAGTACTCTTTAACAATTGAAGATTGATTAGTTTCGAACTGATAGTGAACATTATCAGTTTGATATCAGCAAAACACAGGCAATATTTGAGCAAGGATTTCTGTGGAACATTCGAGGAGAAGTTGAGATAGTGCATTTGGCCACATAAAATTACCACCAAATACTCCACAGAAAATCATCCTGTTCAAAGCTATACATAGAGGTGGCGATACCAAGTGCATCGTTAGAGCACATGCAAGCCCAGAAAAAGACATACATGCACTTAGGTTTGCCACAAAGAAGCTGGGCTTTAAAATAGGTAAAAATCATCTACATCATCATAAGTTCATAACAATTTACGAGGGAGTCATCCTAAGACACAATAACTGGTGTTAGGATATGCTATATCCAACTCATGCACCATGACCTTGCTTCCAATATATCCACTTCCAAGAATCTGAAGAAGTTTAATTCAAAACGCTGAAGTCCATATGGTTTCTTCTTAGAATAGTAGTGAAAAAGAGAATTTGGCCATATCTTTTCCAGGATAAATTTGGACTAAATACATCCCAGAATAGAAACAACTAACACAGATAACGGTTAGCAGAATAAGCATCAGACTTGGGGTCTTTGTCGTCATAAGCTGAGGGCTAGCTTATCCCAAAGAAAGCCTCTTTTCTCGCAGTGGTTCCAAGTTCTCTTTCGATTTCTGCACGCATTACATGTTTCTTGAATTTCTGTGCACTCTTAAGGCTGATAAGCGAAGAATTTTAGCCATATGTGCTTGTTTAGTATAAATTATAATTAGATTATAATAAAAAGTAGTGAGACCCACAAAATGTGTGGATAATAAGTGAGTAGTAAATTGTGTGGTTGTTAAATTTGACTTTGACTGCAAAATATAATGAGATTATAAGTTGTTACAAGTACTATATCTTATTGATATTGTTAATGAAGTGTTAATGGGATAATACGGTTAGTTTTACAAAAAAGAAAAAAAAAAAGAAGAAGAAGAAGATTTAGTTCTTTTCAAGAAGATTGATATGATATAATTTTCTTCAGGATAAAAAGCTCAATAAAAGGAAAAATATGAACATTTTAATCGTTTGGTAAAATTTCATCCTCGCGGTCAACTGCACAACTTTGTCATGTCAAATCTAATAGGCTTCGTTAGAGAGGGTTGTTCCTTCAACACCAACAAAAGATTCAACTTTTCTACCCATTGCTAAATATATTATTTAGTAAATTTACTTCCACATATTGCATTTAGATCATAATCCGATTTGATGACACAATTTTATCCAGTCAAATCTACTTTCTTCATTGGTTAGTTCAAAGAAAAAAAATAGAATGTAAATATTCAATAAGTATTACAGCTTTTGGTGTTACAGCATTTTACCTTTATTTTTTCTTGTTGGATGAAGAGGGGGAATCTAAGATTTTATTAAGAATGAGTACAAAGATATGGAAAATATGCACTGTCATGTCCATAAAAGATGTAATATATATCTTAAAGATTTCTCAAAGGATACAGAACCGTGTGGTGCAAGCTCATGGATAAAAATGATTTCCTTTTGATATATCAATGCTCAATTCTCCAGAGAAAAAATAAATAAATAAATGGAAACTAAGCTGACTAGTCATATCATGGCTGATCTGAAGTCTCAGAATTTCTGGCCCAACTTAAAAGATGATTTCAAAGCATGAATAGAAGGAAGGAGATTAAATGCGAAACATGATGCCGATAGATAATCTAAGAGACCCATATCTAAATTATGAAAGATAATAGAACATAAAGATTCATGCAGCCAGTGAACTGGCAGAAAAGATCACCTTTTTCAGTTCTCTCTCCTCAGGACGTCTTCGTTTTTTCTGAATTTTCAGCTGTGGAGAAAGAGATCGTTTTGTGTGACGAAGTTCTCGTTGAGGTTCTTCATCGGCATTCACACTGGTTATCACAGAGCTTCTAAGAGGGGGTACTTGATCTTCATCCCTCGACGTTTTCCACTCCCGTTTGTGACGGTTTCTAGGTGTTTTACTAGTATTTTCATTCTCTCCTGTAGACTTGATCTGATGCAAATCATTTCTTCCAACCTGCTCCCCAATTGTGGATTTTATTTTGGGGACTATATTTGGATGAGGTTCCAGTGGTTGCACATATAAATCAAGATTTGATACCAAATGATCCCACAGCCTACATAATACAAAATATTGGTATAAGAATTATGCTTCACAGGCTATGCACAATGTTTATGCAATGGAAGTAACCCTACCAAGATACAAAAGAGTCACTGTCATCTCCCAAAAATACATTCAACTCATTCTTTGCTTCATCCTTACGCCTTCCATTTTTTAGCAAGACTATAACATACTCCTACAAGCACATCAAAGAAAATTAATGAACATGGCAACATGCGAGGACAAAGATGACAAAATTATCTAACATCACGAGAATATTCTGAAATTCAATATTGATATAAGAGCTGTAAATGTTCTATAATATGCAAAGCTAAGACCTCCATGAATCAATTATTTTTTTTATCCTCCAAGATCCAAAATTAAAAATCATGGATCAAGCAACACAAAAGAGCTTGTCAATAAATGTCAGGTACAAATAGAAATTTGAATGAAAACAGAAGATTAAAATTAGACGGGAGGAAAACGATAAAAGAGAGACAAAAACAACATCCAAACAGTCCACGTGACCTCAAGACATGTTGACTTAATTCTTATCCTGAAGATACTAAACTAAACTGCACTCAAACCAACAGCCAAAGAGGAGAGGAAGGAAGGCGAAAAAAGAATAACGAGTCGACAAAGTATTGCAACCTTATAGGCATAACTATCGAAAGGAAAAGTGCAAGATAAGCACACAGAAATGAACCCTGTCCAAATCATTAGAAGTTTAAGAAACAAACTCTTTCGTTCCCGAAGCAACAAGAACACGTGGATTAAGTCCTACTACAGAAAAAAACTTGTAGTGACTAGCGACTCATTCAGCATTGTTGCATCGCCATCCAAAATGTCATTGGAAAATCAGCTATTTATCAAAAGGTGGGTAATAAACTGGCATAAAAATGATTAGAAACTCTCTGTTTTTACATTATCGATTTTCGGTTTTGCTCAAAATAAAAACCCACTCCATTTTCATAATATCATATTTCAACTTTCTCTCCTCAGAAGTATTTTCTGTCTCCACATAGTAGATTTTCATTAAAGTAAGTCATCCTTTTACATTCCAAGGAATTATACCTAAAAAATTTTATATATGCACGGGTTTAACCAAAAATACACCATGACTTACATGCCAATAGACATTTACAGTACAATAAACAACATTTAACCACCATTTTATATGAGCAAATCATAAAACCTCGTAACAAAAATAAACAAGTAAATCCCAAATAAAATTTCATTCCATACCACAAGAGTGTCATCAGTGTAGTCGCCCATGAACTCCTTGAGTTTCTCCGTGACTTGCTCACGAAGCCTCACCACTCCCTCGCTCGTAAAATTAAGCCTGAATGTCCAATCATCTCCCTCCATTTCTACACGCAAGAAATTGTTTCCAAAACCCTAACTAAAATTTCACCTATTATAAATTCAACGCTTAAATCCCAACCCTCTATTAATAAATTGAGCCTAAAACTCTAATAATCTACCTCCACTTCAACTCCCAATACACAGAATAAAACCCTAACTAAAATTCCACCTATTATAATTCAGCGCTTAAATGTCCGATCCTCTAGCTCAATGTGTACACGAAATATCCAGAAAAATTGTGTCCCACAACCCTAATAATAATTCGGCGCTTAAATCCCAACCCTCTATCAAAAAGAAAACTAAATAAGTTGCCAGATAGATGATAAACTGAATGAAAACGATTTGGGATTTATTTTGATGGTGAATTTCTTCCAGAGAGACAAGGGGGCCTGAGAAGGTTTCCTCTCTGTGGAGGGCAACCGGTTTGTGCGATGATAAACCACCTTCGAACCCTACGCCAGCCTCTATTTACGGGCTGTGGCGGGGACAAGACGGGTATAAAGGTAAATTGGGTTAAATTCACTCGTGCCAATCCAACTTTATATTTAACGTCACTCTATTTGATTTTGTTTCACACAATTTAATTTTATTTCAGCATTGTGACCACATAATTTCATATAATTTTCACCATTGTACCTCAATTTCTTTTCAACATTTTCACTAATTTTAAACTGGGTAAAACGATAACTTTGTATTATATATATAATAAATTTAATAAAACAAAAAAAAGTTTTTTTTTTCAATTTTAAAAACGGTTATTTTAAAATAAGTTTTTATTTTATTTTTTTTAAGAAACTTTTTTTTAAATAACTTTTATTTTATTTTAAAAACTTTTTTGTTAAATAAGTTTTTATTTATTTTTTTAAAATAATTTTTATTTTAAATTTAATTTCCATATATAATACAAAGTTATCGTTTTACCCATTTTAAAATTAATGAAATGTTGAAAGGAAGTTGAGTGGCCACGATGAAATGTTATATAAAATTGAGTGGTCATGAAAAAATAAAATCAAATTAGATGGTCATGGTGACGTAAGTATAAAGTTGAATGATCATAGTGAAATAAAATCAAATTGAATGGTCAAGATGCCACTAAGTATTAAATTGGATGGCCATTGGTGAATTTAACCCAAGGTAAATTATTCGATATAATTGGAAAATTTGGTAAAAAAACTAGGGACATGGTTGAATCCCAATTTTTTTTTTTTTTTGGTATAAAATGTGTTTTAAAATAATAGATTGATGAAAATATGTAGTTAAAAATAAAGAAAAATTTTGAATTTACATGTAATATTATTTTATTGAAAAATATGTTGATGAAAAGAAGAGAGTGAAAAATGTATTTTGAAAAAAATAGGATCAAATAAGGGCTAAAATAGGGACCTCGGCCAAAAATAATTTGTTAATTGTTATAAAACTTTATTTTATTTTATTTTTCTATCTTCTATTTTCAATCACACAATCTTCTATAAAGTAATATTGCACGTAAATCGAAAAAAAAATTCTTCTTTTTTTAGCCACACATTTTTCGAAAAAATATTATTCTATCCATTAAAATTTGAAATAATGGAGGCCAAACGGGGGCTTAGTAAAGAGACAATAAGAGAGTAAGAGAGAGAGAGAGAGAGAGACACGAAGAGGTCAAAAATTCAAATGTGATTTTATTATGATGGTGGACTCGTATTGTTCCAAGGAAAATTAGAGTAACAATATAAGCCCTCGTTTGACCCCCATTTTTTTCCATTAAATTATATTAATTTTTTCTCTCTTCATTTCAACCACACATTCATCAATTAAAAAAAATATTACACACAAATCTAAAATTTTTCATTACTTTTCTACCACATATTCTCTCATCAATCACTATTCCAAAAATTTTCAACACCCCGAAATGGGAGCCAAACAAAGCTATATAATTACGCCCAAAAAGAGGCGAGAGATAGGAAAAAAAAAAAAGAGTACTTCTCATCAATCACTATTCCAGAAATTTTCAACACCCCGAGATGGGGGTCAAACAAGGGCTAAAAAGAATATACTATTATGAAGTAAATAAGAGTAATTTAAATATCCTAATAAGACTACGATAATTATCTAATAATTTACCATATTTCCGTTTGATGACTATTTGTATGATAACTAAATTGTTAAAAATTTAGTTTAGCAAAAATTCAATGGAATAAAAATATCAAACGAAAGAAAAAAAAAATACAAATAATTTTAACAAAATTAGAATAATAAAATGTTATCTCGTTAAAACCTTATTAATAAAATTCAGTATGACAAAATTTGAGCTAAGGAAAAAGAGTACGATTACTCTCCCTAATTTCAATAAATGAGAATCATTGTATTTAGTCATTCATATCTTGTAAGTCAATGTTTTCAATATGTTTAAATTTGTCTTGTTATGCATTCAAGTAATATCGTCTTTAAACAAGATATGTATATATCATTATTTAACTTTGGTCAGCACGATGATCCATTGAAAAATAAATTTTGCTTTTGCTCTCTTCAAGAGTCTCATATATAACTTATAATATACGAGAGTAAAATCATAAAATTATATTAAGGATAAATATCATTTAGGTTATAGCTAGATATTTATTACACATAGAATATGTCCCATTAAAATCTTAATAGAAAAACTCTGTAGGAGAAATCTAACATAAAAAAAATATTACATTATTCTTTTGAATATGTTATTAAAATTGTTTCATTAAAACATTACCAAACAAATTCAATGTGATAAAATGTCGGTCAAGAGAAAAAGAGTACAACGCGTATGTCACGAAAATTTTAGATTTAAAATTACTGCAAGTGAACGATCGTTAACATATAGTAAAATGGATTTAGAGTCCAAGTATCGTAAAGTATTATAGTATATTTATATCCACAATCGGACTATACAATAATTGATACTGTGACTAACTTATTTTAAATCTTTCGAAGGTAAAATAAGCTACAATATTCATATAACTATTGCGCATATAATTGTAGAGAAAATTAAATTCAAATCAATCATTCAAGAATTAAAAACATGTTTTGAATGTCAAAAATAAATAAGATTCGGAAGTCAAAGTTACATAATACAAGGTTCATCATAATCCTAATACTAAAATTACTTAGCTACTCATAATATCAAAATTAAACAAATGAAATTTAAACGACTTCATTGAAATATTGACGAAACGTAATTAATTCTCAAATTTCTTGCACAATTATTGATGATTAATTGGACAAAAAATTGGCATTAATTCTTTTGCTGCTATCGTCCTCTCTCCTCTTTCTCATCTTACGTTTTTATGTCTGTTATTTTGTGTGTATGAATTTCTTGTTCCTCAATTTCCATGCCCTTTTTCTTACATTTTGAAATAGTAGATTAATGGAGAATGTGTGGTTAAAAAATAAGAATTTTTTTTTTAATTTACGTGTAATATTATTTTATTGAAAAATGTGTTGGTGAAAAACAAAAGAAAGAAAAATATAATTTAAAAAATGGGAATGAAACAATGGCATAATTTCATTTCAAAAGCAAGTCAGATTGAGGCTCATTTAAATCTGCCTATTTAATTTTCTCTCCAAGATTCATCTTCTCAAATAATGCAATTTAGTTTTTGAGTTCATCAATTGTGCAATCAATGTCCTTCTCAAATTCTAACTAGTGGAATTTTATCTCAAAATTAAGATTTCATTCAATTTTGTCCTTCTCCCTTTCCAATTGCTTAGAAAAGGCCGGCACTGAAACAAAAAGATATTAACCTAAATTAAGTAGGAATCAACACTTCGATGATATAAAATTTTAGTAATATGGCCTAAATATGTACACAAAACACACTTATCAACGCATTTACTTGAGTTATATGTTTCAACATATTAAATCCTCATATCTAATATTAATAGTCATGCTAGATGAGTTGATTATAAACAATATTTATTATACGCATATCCAAATTTCATGCATTGTTAGTCTAGCAAGATAGAGACTTGTGATTATATGCAGCACGAGATAATGTATTTATTTATTTATATATTTTTTGACAAAATTCATTATGTTAACAATCATGCATTACATGTTACGACTTCATTTTTTTCATTTACTTTTCGTATAAATATATACATTTAGGTAATCGAAAGACTAGTTCAGAAGTTTCAGATTTCTATAATAATTTCAATTTATAAGGATCATATCATTTTATTTGGACAATCATTTCTTCGATCCATATGTTTCGACGAATTTGTTTTGATGTCCTCGCTATTTTATAATATGAAGCGGTACATCATGGACAAAAATGGTATTTGATAACTTTTTCTTTTCGATTTTAATGATGATTATAAATGACGTGGCAAGATTAGTTCAACTTAAAGGAAAAAAACTATTGAGTATTGCTGGAATTGGATCAAGGTTTACAAAGTAATTGCATTAATGAGACGTTTAAGAGTGTTTGTTATCCAATCCCATAGCTCTACATTTGGAGAGGATCATTTGTTCCATTTTATTGGTTGTAAGGCCACGCCATTTGGCCGCCCAACATCATTTCAGGTACAATGTTGATCTAGAAATACGTGTCATTGCCCAAAGTTCTAGTTCTCTGATTAGTTAATGAGGCCAATCATGCAAGTCATCATGATGTCTATGCTGCAGCTATAGCATCAAGTAGTGATGGTTAGCAGATGGGTAATCATTACTTGATTATAATTAGTCGAAAATGAGATGTTGACGTCATAGTTCTCAGGTGTCATATTGACAGTGGTTGATGGCAAGGTGGGGCAGTGGGATAGTAAATATAAATCATGATATCCCCGTAAATTACAACGAAAATTTGTCCGATCCAATCTTGTTTTAGGATATCTGATCTTGAGATTAGCTCAAGTACAATATTCTGTTATATTTATTTAATAAGGTGTGAGATTAGAGCTCAACCGATTTTATTTCTATCCTATTACGACATAATTTATTGAGATATATTTACTTTCAATATTTCAAGTACTTGAACATGGTTTAAAAT